GCCCACCTGGGGGTTCTCGTCTGAGAGAGGCTGATGGGAATCCAACTCCACAGCATATTACAGAAACAGGGACACCCCTGATCACCAGCTGGAAACCCTATAATTCTATCAGAGGATAGCCTGAGGGACAGGGGGGCCAGGAAGAGGCTGGCAGGGGAACAAAGATAGTCATGGGCCACTGGAGCATCAAGCAGGACCTACCTGGGCACAATACCCTGAGGGAGCTTGGACACCAAAATGGGGCTGTGACAGTACTGAAACTACAGGCTTAGGCCTCAGGCTCACAAGAGAAGTTTCAGGTGTCAATGGCCTTAGAGTAGCAGCTGTGAAATTAGTATCTTCTTCTCACTGAGAGGAAAGAGGTGGTCTGGGGTACATGCAAATATTTAGAAAGACTTCCAAGGACCAGGACACAGAGCTACCAAGGCCACCCTCTTCCCAGGGAATTTACCTAGGACCACAAAATGCTGGACTATAAGGCTGAAGGGAATTGGTTGCATGTCATGCCAGAGTGTGGAAAGAGGTTCAGTGTTGGGCCCCTTCCCTTCAAACTCAGCTACACTTTTTCACCATCCATCCTGAGGGCAGAAACCTTACTGAAACCCAGGCAAGATACTTCTCCCTGCATCCCCTGCAAAGCTTCCCCACTGTCCTTGGGAATCCTTTGAACTCCTCAGCCTTGCAGCATGAGCCTTCCTTACTTGGCCTCTGACGTCTTTATCTTTGGACTCTCCCACCTCCTTGGGCATAAGCATGCCATTCCTTTAGTGTGTCTGGTACAGACCAGATTCCTTCTGCCGTTTACATTCCTCCCTCAGCCAGGAATATTCTTTCATATCCTTTCAACCTGATAAGCCCAGAGTTATTCTTCAAAAATATTCAAGCTTCACCTCCCCTATGAAGAATGATCTGCCCAGCCCCAATCTGGGGGCAGGGAGAATGCTTGGTTGTGGTGACAATATGTGTTGCTAACCACAAATCCATTTTCCCCTGCTTTATCCCTTCCTAAAGAATCATGATTTGCTCAAATATTCAACCCCCAGAAAGGCAACCCTTCTCTAGCTCAAGGATACAAGCTCAATAAGTCAAGCTGAGCACGACAGCCCTTTCCCCACAAGAGCATAAACTCAGTGCTAGGTGTATGTTCAGGTCATGATCTTCATGCCCCCACTGAACTGGGGGTGCTAGGGTGGCAAGTGGCAGAACCTAAAACAAGGGCTGGGGCTGAGTTTGTGCCAAAAGAGTTGAGAACAGATCTCCACCCTGCTTAGATCCTTCCCAGACTTTTTTCTCCAGTGTTGTCTGAGGATTTCATCCATAGGGAAGTCCAACAGGCCTATAGAGTCTTCTCAGAATCACTGATCAGAAAGGTTTGGTCAAAACTCACTGCCTTGTAGAAATTTTTTTCTTTTCAAATTTTCTATTCTTAGTTGTTGTTGTTTATTTAAAGATATTCACTGAGTACCTGCTATGTGCTAGACCAAATATTCAAAGCTGCCTTTATGGGACTCAGAGCTTTTCTTTGGTAGACATATAACCAGATAAGATGCTATTAGGGCAGGAACTCTGTAGTAAAAGAGAGCTCTTAGTTGCTAAAAAGAACATTCACTGAACAGTTTAAAAAGAAAAATAAAATTCTGAAAGCTTATTGTCAGCTCACAGAATCCCACACAGAATGAAATCCTTGTCTCAGTCCACAATGTAGGAGAAATTCAAATTCCGTTCTCTGGATCTTGTTCTAGCCTTGTCTGCCAGTTAGTGCTGCGATGCAAGTTAAAGGATCCAGCCCCTTTAATAAAAATAAAAGCCTTGATCTGAGAATGGAGAGAGTTCAAGAATGCAATCTCTAACAGATGGTTAAAAGGCAATAACACAACACACTATTGTCATTACAGAGCAATGGCAAAAGTCTCATAAAGTGGTGAGACTTTTATGGTGGTATTAGTAACCAGGGAATATCTACTGCCAAAGAAAAATAAGAGCTGGAAAATAATTAAAGAGATAAAAATGGATTCAATTCAGGAAGGTTGCCTCAAGGTAAGACAGATTTCATGTAGAGCTGAGCTCAGTTCTGGATACAGCAAAGACAGGGAGACCAAGGAGCAGGATGAGAGGGTCAGTGGTAGAAAACTACCAAGAGAAAACATCAGGGTCAAGGAGATTCTGGCTGAAGTGATGAAACAGAATTTTTGTTGAAGACAGGCCAAGGTCATCAGATATCAGATGCAGTGGATGAGGAGTGACAAAGGCAATCAGATATGGAAGATGGGGGCTCTTGCTACATTGGCTTCAAAGGGTTCTTACTCAAACTAGACTTTATGAGGAAGCATACTGACAGGCTTAGGAAAAGTTTCAGGAGCCTGATTACATTTTGGCTAAGCAAAGCGTCTTTGTCACGATTCCCTCATTTTTCTCCTTTGCCCAAATCATGGCAAGTGGACCTTAAGTTTTCTTTTAAAACATGAAAGTGTAAAAAAAGAAAAAAAAAAAAAACCTTCTTAGTGTGACTGATGAGAAGTACCCAAAATGTTATTCCAGCAAAGCTGATTTGGAGGTGCATCCTGGCCAGGACCTCCTGTTTCCCGAGTCACCATGAGAGTCACCTAATATATAATACTCAGTTGGAGCCACTTCTTTAGCTCTGACTCCAGAGAGAGAACACATCCTCTCTAATCTGAGGGGACCTGCTGTTTCTACTCTGTTCCACTCCTCTCTTCTGTGGGCAGGAGTGTCTTCTGGTCCATTGTGAGATGCATAAGCATCATGTTTCTGCTAAAAGAAATGGCCTTGCTGGGCATACACTTGGAATGCTGTCATTTCCTGGACAGCCTCAGCTTTGCTCATAGCTCCTATTTGGCCATGTGAGGGTTTTCTCAGGTGGGCTGCAAAAGAATCCCAAGCCTTGAAAACAAGTGGGAACAGAACTACAGGGCAGAAGAGTCTTCTAAGTTCTTCTTAAAGCACTTAGGAAGAAAACAGTTGTGGGTCAGAGAGTGACTCAGTATTGAGAGGAAGTTCAGGGCAGAACTTGAACTAAAAAAGAGAAAAGGAGAATCACTAGGCAGGGCCAGTGTTCGGGTACTACACCCTGACACAGCTGTTAAAGGTGGATGTGAAACTGCAGGGACCTCAGCACTGCTGTGCTACGGAATGAATGTTTGCTGTTGAAGCCCAGCTCCTAGTGTGACAGTATTTGGAGATGGGGCTTTTGCGAGATAATTAGGGTTAGAGGAGGTCATTTAACCTCATAAAGTGGTGAGACTTTTATGATGGTGTTAGTGACCATTTGAGGAGAAAGAGAGAGAGTTTTGTGTCTCTGAGTGTAAGCACAGAGCATACGCCATGTGAAGATAAGTACAGAAGGAAGCCTTTTGAAAGCTAGGAGATAGCACTCACCAGAAACTACATAGGCTCCCCCTTGACCTTAGAATTCCTAGTATCCAGAGGTATTAGGAAAAAAAAATTGTTGCTTAAGTCACCCAATTATCCACTGTATGCTATCATGACAACTTGTGCAGACTAAGATATATTGGTATGTAGCTTCTGCCCTTCACCCCCAGAGCCTCCCTGGTGTCCCATAAACCCTCCACCCAGCACCAAGGCTCAAGGCCTGGCCCTGCAGGGGAGTTTTGTTGAAGTTTTGTTCCGGCCCTACAGGCATCAGCCATACAGGTAAGTGGGCTGTGCTGACCCAACTGAATAATTTGAGTACCACTTTTTGATTAAAGAGCAGTCTCATAAGTCCTTGACCCTCCTCTCATTGACAGGTGGGGTTTGTGTCCCTACCTCTTGAAGCTGGATGGCTAGTGATATTTTTTGACCAACAAGGGGCAGAGTAGTAATGCAGTGTGACTCCTGAGTCTACATCATAGAGGGCAATGCTGCCTGCTTTTCATCCACTAGATAAACACAGTGTCCTGAGCTGCCACATGGGGCATCTTTCCAACCCAAGGCCACCATGATGGAAAGGTTCCATGTCAGAGCTCCAAGGACCCAGCTGAGGCCAGCCTTTCAGTCTCCTCACCCTGACACCAAATATGGAAATGAAGAATTTTCCATGTGATAGAGACCTCCTGCTCTATAATCACCTCAAGTTTAGATCATCCCAACAAAGTGTCCAGATTTTCAGCAGTAGAAATAAGCCATCTGTGGGGTACCCTGGCTGAATTCTAGATCTACAGAATCTGTCAGTACCATTAAATGATGATTTTATAATACTAGCTCTAAGGCAGCAATCTAAACCAGGACTCCACCCTTCACTGAAATGCAAGGGCACTCACTTTTAGAGAAAGTCAGTAAATAAGAGTCATGAATCCCAAATCCACATCCCATGTGTGTGACCTCAGAGCCCACACTGCTCTTGTCTCCCTGACATGTCCAGACCCTTTGGAGATATACTCTGGAGTTTGAAAGCTGGAGCATGTTCATAGGTCATGATCTCAAATCAGATTCCAACCAACGGGTGGAAATAATGGGGGCATTTACCTTTGGCCGGAGGTTTACTGAAATATGTGGGCCTTCTTCAGATGTCAAAATGTTGTTATTAGGAAAGAATAAACATTGTGGCTCTAGATGGCAGAGTTAAGAGCAGTGGGCATGACAGGGCAAGTTTGGGCTCAGTTGGAAAAAGATTTTGCCTTCCCAGAAAGCAGTTAGTCTTCATTTTTGAAGACAGTTCAGGGCACTCTATACATATTGAGCATAGCTCTAGGACACCAAGGATCACTCCTGGGTGAATGCCAGGGAGAGTGGTCAAGCTGCAGGCTGGAACAGGACCAGGTGACTTTCAAAGCCCCTTTCAACCCTGAGACATTGGCTACAAATCAGAAAGTATCCTCATTCACAGGTTTGTCCCCAGGGCAACAGTGGGCACTGCTCACCCTCAGTGTTCCTTCAGGGAAATGCCCACAAGGTGTTGAGGTTTGACTTCTCCCCAAAGATATGTTTCTGACAAAAGAAATTGGTCTTAATCTGTCCCTGTTAAAAATCCAAAGACACTTTTTGATTACACAAATGTTTATTATTCATAAAATCAAACATATTTGGAAAGACTACCCTCAGCTTCTCTGGGTGTCTGGGCTCAATGGCCACTGGGTCAGGGTAAGTGTTCTGTTCAGGGTCTGGCATGCTGCCCTCTGCTGCATGATGTGTCAAGAGTTGGTTGGCAAATGAAGAAGTCTCAGCCTCTTTCGACATAGCATCCTTGGGTCAGAATGTTGATTTGTAGTCTAATTACTCTCTTATCAGGATGATATGAAAATTTCTCTTCCAGCCAAAGCTTCAAGATTTCTGTTGAGGCTTGTGAATGAGTTTTATTAGAGGCATCCTAATTGGCAGGAAAAAGTGTCCCTTTCCCAGCTTCCCACAGGATGTGAGCTCTACAACAAAAGGGTTTTCATGGTATTCTTACTGTTGCTTGATAGAAAAACATATCTTAGCTGAGACAGATATTCCCTGGTCTTCTTTACTAGGTTCAGAAGATGGGGCAGAGCCAAGGGATCTGTGTAACCAGTACCTAGGTGATTCTCTGACCAATCAAACTTGAGAAACACCAGTCTAGAAAGTAAAGAAAGACCACTGAGCCCCAGCAGACCCCTTCATGCTGATGTATTTGTCTGGTTAGAGGTATGATAAGGTTGGCATAGTACATACATCTAAAAATGTCCAGAGAAAAGGGTAGAAAGAGGAACCCCAGGCTGGTCTCATCCTCTGAATAAGAAATATTGACTGAAAAGCACTGGGAACTAGGAGATAGAAGTCTAAAAGCCTGGCTGAGGTTCCCACCCACACCCCTATCCATTGCCAAGGTTGTGCAAGCAGGGCCTGGAGTCTCTAGCTTTTTGGCCTCTGCTCTCATTCTTCAGTGTCTTCAGGGATCAGGATCACTGCCCACCAGACTCAGCAGGGCATTCTTGTAGTCACCGCTGGTGTCATCCTGAAGGCAGAAGTCACAGGAGAATTAAAAGGGGGATGTTCGTGACTTGATCTGGCTCCTCAAGAGCACCCACTATTTATTATTACTAGAAGTTGTTCTCCTTGGGTGGGACCCAGCCCTTCAGGTGTTCCTATACCACAGGATCCCTACCTTTCTTCTTTCCTTGTTCTTCATTTCAGACTACTCCTTTGTATCTCGTTTTTTATTTTCTTACTAATTACATGGGACATGGTTGTGAAAAAATGAATCACAGAAACAGTGTGCTCTTAAATTTAAAAAGTGTGTGGGTGACTTTCTTACCCCATCAATTGCCCTGGGGCTCTTTCTCAGGTTTCACTCAGGCACTTGAACCAATCACTCACTCAACTCTATTATTTTTTCAACACCTGCTATTGCAGTTCAGGGAGGCAAGTGTTACGTTTTGAATCTGAAATACCCACCAAAAGTTTGTGTTGAAGGCTTGGTCTCCAATCCAGCCATGTTCAGAGGCGGATCTTTTAGAAAATGATTGGATGATGAGGGCTCTGACCTCATCAGTGGATTAATCCATTGATAGATTAATAATTTGATGATATTATTAGGAGTTAGTGGAAACTGTAGTAGGTGAGGGCTTATTGGAGGAAGTACGTCACTGGGGGTACACTGGGGGTACTTCTTGTCTCTTTCTCCTTCTCTCTCTGCTTCCAAGATCCATGAGGGAAGCAGCTTTGCTCCACCATATCCCCTCTTCCCTGATGCTCTGCCTCAACCACAGGCCCACAGAAACAGAGCCAGTGAACCATGGACTGCAACACCTAAAATCATGAGTTGAAATAAATCTTCCCTCCTGTAGGTTGTTATGCTCAGGTATTTGATCACAGCAATTAAAAGCTGACAAGTTCACCAAGATTGAAAGCAGGGTGCTATAACGGGAGGCTGTGCCATGGGGTGGAGAGATTTCAGACATGAACCTTGGCTGTGTCATCATCCACTGACTGTCCCTTAACCTCTATGAGACATTCTCTCCTCTATAAAATGCCATTGATGTTGGCAGGCATCTTGCTGAGATGTAGTAAGGAGTGAATGGTAGGAAGGAGTTGAGCCTGCCTGCTCAGCAACCAGCTCATGTAAGGATCAGAGTTCCTTTTGCTATAAGAGGGATCCCACAGATTCAATTACTCTACTTCTTAGCCACTTGTTGGTCTCAATAGGACTGGCTAGTCAAGGATCTGCATGTAGAGCCAGGGGAACAGGCAAGGGCAAACCATCCACTTCCCTTTTTCTGTGGTTGAGGACACTGGGACCAAGAGAGGGTGATAGACTCCTCCAAGGTCATGTGGTAGGTAGTGGGTAGGACTGGAGCTAATTCTGTTTCTCTCTGAAGCAGCTTAAATCTCATAGGAATTATCTAGTCCTTGATAGTTTAGGAAAATTTACTGAGAATCTTATTGATCTAAAGAAAATGTTTGGTCAGTGCATTAACAACTCCATCTGAATTTTTCTTAAGCGACAACATTAGAAAACAAAAATCAAAATCTATTGCTGGATAAACAGCTGCACTTTTGTCTCAAATCATTAGTTCGCTAAGTTTTCATATCTACCATGGGGTCTACATCTTAGGTCGAAGTGATCATTTTACCTAACAGAGTTTTTGTTCTTTGGAAATGAACTGTGTCTCTATCTAAATAGAATGCTGAGAAGGAATAGAAATATTTCCAGTGGCATAAGTAGCCATGTGTGGTTGAGAGAAATCATGACAATCTGCTTGAACTGCCTGTGGGTGACATAGTAGCAGCCCAGGCTGGTTTGTGCTTAGCCCTTCTGTCTCCTGACAAGGTTGCCTGGGAAGTCTAAAACAAAACAAAACAAAGAATAATTCCAGTCCTTCCCTACTGGATGCCTGCATGCTTCTCCATTCTGAAACACCGTAAAGCAGAAGCGTTTTATTTAAACATACATTCATCTCAGCAGGGAATAGATTCCAAGGTCTTCCTCTCACCATGGGTACAAAAATCTACAGATGCTAAAGTCTCTTATATAAAATGGTGCAGTATTTGCATATAACCTGCACTCATCCTTTCAAATACTCATGTAATCATCTCTAGATTACTTATAGTATCTAATATAAGTAGAATGTCAATAATTGTTTTACTGTATCATTTAGGGAATAATGGCAAGAAAAAAAATGCCTGTACATATTCAATGCAGATGCAATTTTTTTCAAATATTTTTGATTCTCTGTGATTGAATTCACAGACACAGAACTTGGGATGTGGAATCCAAAGAGACCTAGGACAAATTGTATTGTTATCTATGTATTTGCCAGAAAATATAGTAGCAACCAACCTTTGTAGAAGAGCTTGTGACTTCACTTAGTAGCCAATGAAAACTTGGACACATGTGTGATGATTTGACTTATGTTAATGAAATTGCCAGGGTCTCAATTTGCATTGATTGCCAGATGAGCTATTTTTCTCAAATTTATAGCTGTGGAACAATCACTCTACATTTGAAGACTCTAGAACCTTCACTAATCAAAGTCTGGTTAAGCAATTCTCTGAAGCCTGTCCAATTTATTTCCCTGAAACCTTTCTGCCAGGACTACTTAAATCTAGACTGAGTAGGGCCCCCTTTCCTATGTCTATGTCACAAACTGGAGTTAAAATTGGAAACTCATGACTTACCATGATCATGCTGCTGAGGGTCTTGCCATACATTTTCTTGAATTGACTCTTGATAAGATTTAAATCAATTTCACTCCTGGAAACAATGTTCCTTATCAGGGTCCCATCGAGTGTCCCTGCTCCCTGGATGAGACAGCAGCAGTCAACCATCATTTCTCATCTTTCCTGTCCACCTCAATAGTCATGGACAAAGCTCAATCTCTTTTCACTCACTGCTCAGGCCTCTTTCCTTTTTAGAAGCCAAATTGCATTAGGTGTTTAATTTGCCACATTAGATTCTAGACACAAAAATTCATAGCTCCAGAAAGAATACTTCTTCCTAGAGAAGCAGCACTTCAAAATTGACTTATCTGGCCATTTCATAAACAGGATTTTCCCACACTTTCATACCTGACCAGTCTCATTTCAGAGGAAGTTACCTGGGAATCCCATGCCCTTTCTAATTTCTGGGGGCTTCAGATTTCTGGCATGGCTCTTACTTCAGGTGGTGTCAACAACCATATATCAGAAAAGGAGGGCACTGACATTATTCTTGGAGAATTAAGTTAACTCTCTTCCCATTAGGTTCCAGACACCAGAAAATGTTTTGGGTGGCTTGGGCAACTGTTTTTGTGACTAGGGTAGCCTTCTGGACAAAAGGCAAGTTATCACAGGTAGAAGTGTGCTATGTGTGGCAATTTTCCTATGAACTTGACCATGGAAAGGGTGCCTTCATTCCTGCAATTCTTATCTGTGACCTTTAGTAGCAAATCTGCTTTCATGGAGACCATGTGGTACAATGAAAACAACAACAACAAAAAATGAACCTGCTTGAGTTCAAGTCACAGTGTGCCACTTTGCAACTGGGTGATCTTGAATGGGAGCTTCAGTTGCACAAATCTCTAGGAATGCAATTATGACACAGGTCTCCCAGAATGATAAATGTTCAGTACCTTGGACACCTAAGCATGTACCTGTTCAAATTTCCCTGTAGGAGATGTGACTTTCCTACTCTAGACTCAGTTTTCCCTGACAACTAAAATCTTTCTGATGTATAAAAAATGATAATAAAAGTAACCCCAGTGGTGAAGACAGTGGTGGCTCTGAGCTCCCTGGTGGTCCAGTTGGTGCCACATATGACTGATTGTAAGGGAGTCAGTAGACCCAATGGTTACCTTCATGGCATAGTGGAGTCTCTCTGCAAAGTAGCTGTGCAGGTTTTGGGTGCATTTCACTGTCAAACAGAAAAGCTCTGTTAGCATCTCAAAGTTGTAGGCAGTACTGCACACGCCTTCATTTTAATTACGCTTTGCCTCAGGTCTTAAAGGTTAGCATTGCAAGTCTTGCACATTTCTTTGTGCCCTACCTAATTAATATCCTCTGACAGGGAATAGTGGAGGTGTGCAGGGCCCCACTGTGGTGGACACTTCCTGTTCATTTCTCCTTAAAGACTGACTCACTTTCATGGCACAGATGAATCAGGGATGTCAAGTAACAAAGTCACACTGCACCATTGAGGCAGGGTTTAAACACTTGCCTACATCCCTCAAAGCTTTATGCCAGGGGGTGAGGCTGGGAAGGGCGACTGGGGCACTAGGCATAGCTCCAAAGGCCCAGAGCAGACAGGCAAAAAAGGGGGAAGTGAAATCCAAGGGGCATCTAAGATAAAAGCTAGATAAGCCAAGGGCACCTTAGACCCAGACTGTCCCTGGGCTCTCACCCAGACATGGCACCATCAAGAATCTAGCTACTCAGCTCTACAGAGGCATCACAGCATGGTGGCCATGACCTTAGAGAGCTCTATCAGCAGGACCCCTGCATTTTTAATTCCCATGTGATGAATTACTCGGCCCATAGGACTAAGGCACCAGGGGCACCTGGTTGAGAGAGCATACCCCTTCCTTGTAGCCAGGACTGCTGAAGAAGTGTGGGCTTTGAGGAATGTAAGCACATGTTTAAACCCTACCTGACTATATTGCTAATATCCCTGACTCATCTGTGATGTGAAAGTGAGTGAGGCTTTTAGGAGAAATGAATGGCCTATGTTGGAGCATCTAGGTACACCCACTACCCCAATCTCAGCAACACTGTCAGCCCTTAAGTCCTTTATCACCAGGTTCATAGCTGGCTGGGGAGTCTCAGTAAACATTTACCAGAGAGACATGAATGAGGAAGGAGCACTCTGGCTGTTGGGAGGCAACCTAGTGTGGAGATGAGTGCCCTAGCCCAGGAGCCCTGACCTCAGTTCCATTGTGTGAGGTGCAGAGGAGAGGGCCCTCTGCCTTGGCCACAGCTCTCTACTCTGCAATGACTTTCTATTGTGATCTCAGCTCTGGATCTTAAAATGGGCTCTGGAATGGGTCCTGCTAAGTGGACCTGACTTCCTGCTGTGGAGAAGGTTCTCAACACTCCTGGCGTTGGACTACCAACCCTTTGTTGGCAAATCACATGCCATCATTTCTGCAACTGGCAACTAAGACAGGGGCCTGGGCCCCTGGTTCAGGTCCAGAAGGGTAGATTTGTTCAAGGCCTCACAACCAGAAACAGAATTCTCCCTGTGTATGTGTGTGTACACACACGAAACACAATCTCTCAAACACACTGTCACACAACTGCACACACTCATGCATATACTCACATTCTTGCATATACATGCACACATCCACACACACACATTATCTTTCAAACACATCCCCACAGACATGCACATACTCATGCACACATTCTCACCCACAACTTAAGCACATCCACACACATTTACATTTACACCAACATAATCACACTCATGCTCTTTCTTTAACATATAGTCACATGCTTACACATGTATATACACCCTCATATGGCACTGGATGTCATATAGACAGCACTGAGAATATTCCTTGGCAGGACAGACACACTGAGAATCTAGGGGTGGGACAATCCCAGGGTACAGGCTGAGAGCGTGAGAGGACTCATGAAGGTGAATATGGGGTCCTATTTATTGTTTTGCCTCCATGGGCCCTTTGCCCTTTGCCCTTTGGTGTTGTCCCATAGATGAGCCTATGGACCTATGTGCATCTGAGCACTGTGCCCCAGTTCTTACCTACGGTGAGCATGGCCTCCTCCAATGAGCCATGGGTCTCGCTCTTGATGCTGTCCTCAATGCTCTTGTTGGCAATTTTCTCATACTCTTCAAAAACTATGGAGAGAGGGCTCCATTTAAGGAACTCACAGATTATAGACTATACATCAAAGAGCCCACCCTCATCTCCCTCTGGGTTACCAGGGAATCCAAGGCTCTGTTGCTCTCCCCGCAACTTGACAAAGCTGTACACTGGATGTGAACCACAGAAGGAGAAGCCCTGAAGCCAGGGCCAGGGCAGCTCCCATGCCTGGCGTTGCCTCCCTCTACCCCCATACCTCTCATCAGGTGAGTGGCACTGCGTGTGCACAAGATGGTGATGAATTTCATCTCATCAGTCCCAAGAATCTTCTCTCCTGCTTCATACAGATCCTAGCATTTGGAAACCCAGAACAAGCCCACAAAGAAGAAAACAGAGTTAAGGGACAGAATCCCAGAGCCCCAGAGCTGGGGCTGATGGTCAGACCCTGTTCGCTTGCCAAGGCCACCATCTTTGCATGACTGTTTTTTTGAAAGGGAGTTCACTATACTGTCCTTCTTTTATCCCAGTAGCTCTGGCTTAAAATCTTTCTTCCACACTAGGACTGAAGGTACTTTAGGAAATGCAAACCCTTCCCCTGCCACTGGGCAGCATTGAGCACTGAGTGCCCCACTGGTAGGCAGACACAGGGAGACAAGGTTTATGAGCTTGTCCTGGTAGGACAGAGCTTCAGCCCACACCCAGTAATACAAGTTACTCTTCTTTCTTCTCCCCAGTGTCTCTACTTTCCTCCTCAGACACCAGAGGGCAGAAGTGAGCTGGGCAGGTCCCAAGCTATGTCAAATAATGCCCCATGGGAAAATGTGCCAGGTGTGGTACTCAAGTAAGCTCTCCAAGACCAGATGGTAGGGGACAGACAGCCTCACCTGTGCATCTTGAAGAGCCAGTCCTGGGTCCACAAAGCCACTCACATCATCCCTGCTCCCCTAGAACACAGAGGAGAGCTCTGTAAGGCAGGATGGCAACCAGTACAGCTGGATCTGAAGGGACAATGGGGCTTAAAGGACAGGAAGGGCTCTGCAGCTTTTTGGCCATGGACATTCAGAAAGCCAATTATTCTCTCCAAACCCTGGATTTCTCATTTGTATAATAGGAAAGAATCACTGCCTTGTAGGGTTGGGCATTCAGAGAGCTAGGCAAAGAGCCTGGCATGGGACCTAGATGAAGGATCTGATTATGACAGGGTGCTCACCTCTCATTTTCAAGGTGCCTTCACCAGGATGAGTCAGGAGGGGCACAGGGGCTCTGTAATCAGGCCCCTCCACCATGCAGAGATGCAGCTAATGTACACAAGCATCTAGGTTGTCCCATGGCCTTGCCCAGACCCCAGTGGCTCTACTTGAGGGCTGCTCCCTGGGGTGAGCTGTGGGGATCCCTAAGCCATGGGGACCCAAGAACCTGCTGATACCTGCAGGAGGCACACCAGGATCCGTTCCAGGTAGCCGCTCGTGTCTGCTTGGATGTCTTCCTCTAGGCTGGATCCATAGTCTGCAGGGAAATATGACAAGAAGGCATGAACCCAGGGCCCACTCAGGGCCTGATTTCCTCCTTCCAGCCCTGTTTCTCACACCTCTCCCCATTAAAGTCTTCTGGGAAGAATGAGTTCTTGGCATAGGACCTGAATATAATGTCCAAGTGGCAGAGTCACCTGTGTGTTCAGAGCCGGAAGTAACATAAATGCCCAACCAAGCTTAAATCACAGAGATGGACAAGGTGAAATAGCCAGGCCAGGACCTGCTGATACAGCTTCACTTCATCACCAAGTTTGGCAAAGCAAAACTTTCAAACTGGCTCCACAACATGGAGGCCTGTCTGGTCTCTGCTTTTCTTGTACCCCACAGACTACCCAGGATAGGTGATCAATAGACCACACCCCATTACAATGAGGCAAGCAGATGATCTTCCACTGTTCCCTGGGTCAGCCTGTGCACAGCCAGGAAAGAACCACCACATCTATTGTTGAAGCAGATTGTGGTAACAGTGCTCAAGGGGCAGTTTGGTGAGGCTGATGCTTCTCCCCGCATGAGCCCTTGAGATCAGATCTCAACCATGTAGGTGCTTAGCTACACCTACATGTAGAAAAGCCCCCCCAAAGTCCTTTGCACCATGTTCCAGTACACCGTCAACCCTCATTACCTGCCCAGCCACCAAAACTTGTGTCATTTCCGTGTGAGCACCACCCACCCGAACCCATCTTTGCAGGTGTCTTACCCTCCTCATATGCTTTCATTATCTCCTGCAGCTGGTGTTTGGTCCGAGAGGCCAGGATCTCAATGATGACTCCCTCTTTGGTTCCTAAGCCCTGGGTACAGAAACATTTGTGTGCTGAAATGTTCTACCCATGGCCTCCAAGTGTCCATACCAGTTTTTCTCCAGTTACCTGAGCTTCAGGAAGCACCAGCTACCACTCTCTTCACTTTAATGGGGCCTCTTTTGGAGGCTGTTACTGGGGGAAACCTCATATTTGTACTCAGTGATGGATACTGGGGGCAAGCTGTCCCAACTCTCCCTCCTTAACTGGGTGGTCTCATATAGGTGGCCTCACCTGCTGAACCTAAGCATCTTTACCTGTAAACAGGGAAGATAAACTTCCCCCATCCTGAAGGAAGGATTAGAAATCATCAGTGTAAAATGCCTGACACGGATATATAAAGAACTTGAAAACCTTAATACCAAAAAAAAAAAAAAAAAAAAACCCAATCAATAAATGGGCTAAGGAGTTCAACAGACACTTCTTAGAAGAAGATAAATATTTGATCAACAAATATATAAAAAAATGTTCAGCATTTCTAATAATGAGAGAAATGCAAATCAAAACTACTAAGATTTCATCTCATATCAGTCAGAATGGCAATCATCAAGAATACAGACAACAATAAATGTTGGCACAAATGTGGGAAAAGGCACACTCATATATTGCTGGTAGGACTGCAAATTGGTGCAGCCAATATGGAAAGCAGTATGGAGATTCCTTAGAAAACTGGGAGTGGAACCACCATTTGACCCAGCTATCCCACTCCTTGGTCTATACCCAAAGGACTTAAAATCAGCATACTATAGTAACACAGCCACATCAATGTTTATAGCAGCTCAATTCACAATAGCTAAACAATGGAACCAACCTAGATACCCTTCAGTAGATGAATGAGTAAAGAAACTGTGGTATAAATACATAATGGAATATTACCCAGCATTAAAAGAGAATAAAATTATGGCATTTGCAGGTAAATGGATGGAGTTGGGGAACATCATGCTAAGCAAAAAACCAAAGCCCAAATGTTCTCTCTGATAAGTGGATGGTGATCCAAAACAGGGAGTGTGGAGCCATGGGAAAAATAGAGGAACTTTGATTGAGCAAAGGGGAGGGATGGTGGGTAGGGTGCATGGGGGTAGGAAAGATGGTGGAATGAGATAGGTACATTACCCTAGGTACATATAAGACTCCACATAGGGTGCGTTGCTACATTGTATACAACCAGAGAAATGAAAAGTTGTGTTGAAATTGTATACAATGAATCAAAATGCATTTTGCTGTCATATATATTTAATTAAATTTTTTTAAAAAGTCCCTGGCACCAACCAGGCAGTGAGCATCCTGTCAGTGGAAATGATCATTATCACTGGGGCCCTTACACCTCCTAACCTGCCAAAATAAAATGTGTAGTGAGGCGTTTAAAATGAACCCCAGGAACTATTTGTGGGACTGCAAAACTTGCTTTCTAATTCCACTCCAGGTCTGATCCCATTTTGAGAAGTACTGAGTTGGGCCCCATCATGGCCAGTCAATCCCTATGCTGGGCGGCTGTCTGAGCAGCAAACTCACTGGGCTCAGCTCAACGAGGTGGTCATTCCACATGGTGGCTCAGAGAAATTACCTGAATGGCATCATGCAGCTCCTTGGCCTCGTATCTGTATGGTGGATACATGAGGGCCACGATGAGTCTCTCAAACTTGCCACTCAGTTCTGACTTCAAGGTTTCAGTGAGATCCTAAAGCAGACACAAAGAAAGGAGATTATATCTGACCTCCGGGCCTGGGGGAGTACAGACAACAGGGTGGCATCTGGGCCCAGGGGCTAGGCCTAGATTCTCTTGTGGGCTCTGCCATGTGTTGGCTGGGGTCTCTTGGGTCAGTTTGTTAGCCTGTCTAAGCATCAGCATCCTGACCTGTTGAAAAGAGATAATGGAATCCTGCTTCATACCATTGCTTATGGTGTGATGGAGAGATAGGTGAGTTAACTCAGCACTAAGCCTAGTGATGATCACATCATAAACTCAGAATAGAACAAAACATCCATTGCTTACCAGACTGCAAGCTCTGAGGGTGGAAGCAGTGCTGCTTTTATCACCATTAAATGGCTGTTACTTGTCTCACAGGCATGAAAGAAAGAAGAAAGGGTCTTATCTGACATGTGTTTCTTTCTAAGGGTACATGTCTCTACAAGGAACTACAAGGCCACACCCAGCTAATGGCATAGGAACAACAGAAAGACCAAGGGCTTTGTGAGACCTGAATTTAAATCACAATCCTGTTGCTTACAGATACTAGAACCCTGAGTATTATTAGTATCTCTGAATGTTAGTTTCTCCAAAGGTTGAATGCAAAGAATAATGCACAGCTCTGAAGATTTAAGGGAAAGGACTTATAGAACTGCATGATGATTTCTCCAAGGTAATATTTGGACTTTATTACTGATCTTCCTGGGTTAAATCACCAACAGTTTGGGCCAATGGAGACTTGTAGGCCACCGTGTCTATGAATGCATTTATTCCTTTTGGAGTACACCTCCAATTGTCTGGTTCCATTCTAGTGGCAGAAGAGGTGGAATCCCACTGCGGTACCTAGGTGGCCAAAAGTATGGGAGCAGTGCATGTAGTTCCAATGTAAGAAGAAGGAGCCTGAGCCATGAAACAGAAGGAAGTTAGGCCTGCACTGTGGGTCATGAGAGAGTGGTCACCTCAGGGAGCAAAACCTGGAGTCAGGAAACAACTCCAAGCAACATGAGCAACTGTGAGAAATGCACTGGAGAGAAGGTGGGAGAAGAAATGGGATCAGACTATAGAAGACCAACACCAGATTGGGGCTGGACAACTATAAATACATTTTCCAGATAAAATAGATGTCCGTTCAAACTTATATTTAATATAAGACTGTCCTGTGTGTCCATATTTCCAGTAAGCTGGCTCCCAAAAAAGGGACTCATTCAGAATGGAGCCACTTCCCAGGCTGCAGGCCCCAGCCCTCCCTTTACCTTGCCAAACTGAGCCTTGAAGGACTTGGAGATCTGCTGCCGCTGGGCATTGCTTCTCTTGGTGAGCACATCGATGATGGCCTGCTCGTTGGTCCCTGTAGGTACACAGCATGAAAACCCCTACTACCTCCTGGGGACCAAGAGAATGCTGGGGTCAGGGGAAAACAACTGCTTGGTGGCTGAGCTGTGGGAACATACCACCTGGGTAGTGCCAAATGCTCTGATGATTTTCATGGAGTAAAGACAAGTTGAAAAGCCACCTCTTCATTATCCACCTTCCACCCACACAAAGAATGTAGCTTAGGCCCAGCCTTACAGGGATAGAATCTGAGGACCAGATGGCTCTGGACCTCCTCCCTGGAACTTAGGATCTTGGTTAAGTGTGATCTCCATCCCTTCCCCACTCCTCATATTGGTCCTAGTGGGAGAAGGTCACAACTGAGTATCCAGACCACTGGATCTAAGACCCCATACAGCAACTCATGGACCTTGTGTCACTAGACAAGCAGGCTTCCCTCTCAGGGCCTTTGATTTCTCATCTGGGAAGTGAGGTTACAGTAAAGAAGTTGGCAGAAAGCAGAGGATGTTATGTGACAAAGCTTCAGGGCCTTGGTTGAGAATGCTAGTTCATAATGCCCCAGTTCACCAGGCAGAGCCATGTAAGGAGTGAATCCTTTCTGGGATGAGACCAGGGCTTATCCTCTAACTGGGCCATCCAAATGGGCCTTTCCCACTCACAGTCATGATGAGAGTGGCATTGGAACAATGCTGGAGATAAGGAGGAAGCCAACTCCATGGCCAGCCATCCCAGTATGCTCCTACAGTACCCAGGTGGCCAAAGGCAAGGGGGCAGTGCACACAGATCCAATGGGGAACAACTACAGAACACACATGATTGATGCCCCTGGGTTCAGCTCCACTGAACTCCCATCCACTGCCCACATCAGGCCCAGTGCCAACATCATCTCATCCAAAATTAAAAGTCATACAGATTTCTTTGGGCCATTTTATAGGTGAGAAAACTCAGATTGCACAAGAGCACACAACAAATGGCCTCCCCTTTCCCCCATTATTCAGGGAGAAACACCTGTCCTCTTCTTCTTTGGTCTTGGTAGGTGGGTTGGTGCTGACCACTACTGGGGAAGCCAGCATCTGTGTGATTCTTTGCAGTCAGTCACTCTCAGAGTATCATGGGGAACCCTATATCCCTGGTTGTCCCCTGGCATCAGCTTTTCAGGGCTGTGAGTGCAGAAGCAAAGACCCAGAGAGGCCCAGCCTTCCAGTGGCAAGGCCATGGATGCCCACTCACCAATTCCCTTCATGGCTTTGTAGAGGATCTCTGCATCCGGGTCTGGGTTGAAGTGGGGGCTGCCCTTCACCGTGACACCCTCCTGTTCCATCTGCAAGAGTGCCAAGACTGCTTAGAAGCAGGCAGATCTAGGGAGGGCAGTGCAGACTCCTGGCCCACACAGTAGCCTGCCCTGGTATGAGGAGCACTTTTCCTGGACACTGTGAACAGCTTGGACCTTGCAGGTTAGCAGCTGAGCCCTCCAGCTCCTTGTCCAACAGGCCGGAGCAACAAAAAACAGAGATTTCAGGGAGAAGCCACAAAAATTCTCCCATTCCCATCTGTACCATTTAAGAACAGGCAGGAAGCCCTGCCATCCTCAGCTCCCTCCACCCCATCCCCAGGCAGCAGAATGAAAAATGAGTGCATAACGTTTTCTGAAGGGCCCTGAGTATAGTTCAGCAGTAGAGTGCTTGCCAAGCTTGTGTGAAGCCTTGGGTTCAATCCCCAGTAACACACACACACACACACACACACACACACACACACACGTTTCTGATAATCCCTGAATCCCTGGTACTGCAAAAAAAAAAAAAAAAAAGAGAGAGAGAGAGAGAAAAAGCCTTCTGAAGCTGAATAGCTGCCCTGAGAGTACAGACATGGCTGGGTGGATGGGGAGCTGGGCATGGTTTTGTGGTTCCAATGGCTTGAGCTTAGCCTGCACTTTCCTGATGAATGGGAACTTGACAGGAATTTAGAGGGCTAGGGGCCCTGCTGAGATTGTGACAGCTCAGAATATTTGCAAATCCCCAGTATTCTTGAGGATCAGAGGATTTGGTTTAGAAAGTACTACAGGGTGAGTGAGGATTGTGAAATAGATAACCAAAGTACCTGGGCCCTAGGCTTGAAAACCTCTAATCCAAGGCTTGACTGAGGGCTCTTTAGATATGTGTCTTGCATAATTCCTCAGATACTTAAGAGATGGAGAACCCCTCTTAAGTAGGCGTTTTCTGGGAGGAATGCTAAAGAGTGAGGGATATTGGAGATAGGCATTGAATCTGAAGGACCTTAAGAGATTCTTCAAATGGAAAGGAGTTCAATTAGTTTCATCTTCCACTTACCTGACCACCTACCTCTTTCATCATCCCCCATCTGACCACATTCCTCCATTCTCTAATCAGTCACCCAAATACTGTATCTATCTACTTTTCCTTCTTTCCATACCTTACTGCTCCACTCTTCCATCCATTCATCCAACTTACTTTTTCTCTCTTTCTTTCCTTCCTGCTTCCCTCCCTCCATTGGTCCTTCTATCCACCCTTTTATATAAACCCTGGGTTAGATCCTGAAAACACAGTGTAGATTTCCACCCCAATATATCTGTAAGGTTATTTCTTTTGAGTAAAGGATGATTTTTGCCTGAATATCAAATGGCGATGACAAATCTGTCTTGTTTCTTAGCACCATATTTTACAACAGAAATTGTTGACCTTTAATTTGGGTGGAAATTCCATCTGGAAGACCACTGTGGTCCCAGATGTGGCTCAACTGTGCGCATACATACATTGTGTCCCTGGCTTTTGGAGCTGCATTCTGTTGTTAGGAGTTTGTGACTAGAGAGTTCCTGTTTCCGGTGATTTGGATTTCATGCTTAGATCACTGTCTTCCCCAACAGTCACATTTAGTCGGTATTAATGTCCCTCTCTCTTTATAGGAGAGAAAACTAGGCTCAGTTACTCAGATAATGAGTAGAGGGACTGGGACTTTACCCATAGCCTGACTCAGAAGCAGAGCTCTGTTTACTTCTCTCACTCTATTCATGACTCAACCTTTCCCAGACACTGGGTTTTCTTGGGACACTTCACTAAAGAAGGCCTCACCCACAGGAATGCAGGTCGTCTGGGACCTTGGGGGACACTGAACATTCTGTTTCCAGTTCTGCCTGCTGCCCCCAAGTTGGCATCCAAGAGTTTATGACTTAGTAGGCTGTGTGACCCAATCACCAGGGAAATAGGGTTGGGGAGCATTATTTGTTATTAACTCACCGGCTCTGGTTTTGCCACATTGAGAGCTGAGCCATGCTTCCCACAATATAGTTTTAGAAAAACAGGCGCAATGTTCTGGGACTCAGAGACTGCACATCACCTGGAATGGAGCTCTGGAGTTCAGTCTCTCTACAGATTTGCTTCAAGCTCCTGCTGGGACCACCCAGGTCCACACGGGTACCTTTCCACAAGATGACTCATAGCCTATGGCTACATCTGTTTCACACTCTTTGAAGGGCCCAAGAGGGCTGCCACGCTTTTCCTTACCCCATCTTGAAGATTTCCACTGAAACTGGCACACAGAAATGTCTTTCCAAGAAAGGCACAAATCAATCTTAACCCCCTAAGTCAGACATCACACCAAAAAACAAGGGCCACACCCTAAAAATGGGGCCTGGAGAAGAGCCTCACATGGCAGACAGTGGGATCCAGGTCCATTTCCAACCCACCCAGGGCCCTCAGTTCACTCAAAGCTACATCCCTCCAAAGCCAAGCTCTCCACTTTTCCATACCCTTTACATACTAATCCCTCCCCAAGAAAAGTCTGCTGGATTCCTCCCAGTGCGGACTCAAGTGCACACCCTGCTCAGGTTCACACAGGAAGTTCAGCATGGAACCCCTACCACAGCAGGGGTTCTTTCTCTGAACTCTCCCCACCTCTACTTCCCTGTTGCATTTCAAGGTGTCTTTACCTGTCCATCTCCCCCACTCTGTTCCTGTCCCTGTGGTGGCTCCTCTAGAGTTGGGCAGTGTGTTCTCAGCTTCCTCCCAGGGCTTGACTCAGCAGGTGACCAAGTGTAGTCTGAGCTGATATCAGAATCAGAGATTCTGCCTTTATGTTGTCTCGGACCCCCAAGTGGCCAACACCCAACACCATGCAGGAAGCCACTTGCCCTGCTCAACCCCACTTACCCAAGCTTTCCACCAGGCCATCTTGATCCCCTTTCCCAGGGAGAGATGAGACACTGTTTAGGCTGCACTCAGACTGGACACGTCTGTCTTCCGCTACACACTGCCCCTCAGGCAGCTCTGATGATGGGTGTGGTGGTGTAAGGAGGCTCCGCCCAGCTCCACCCCTGCTCTCTTCCTCTCCCCTCTGAGCTCTGCTTGGCTCTGGGCCCTTCCTGTGGCTCCCAGGCCCCACCCAGGCACTGCCCAGGCTTGCCCTAGAGAATCACGCTATTCATTGTAGACTGGAAATTCTGAACCAGTCTTTGAAAGTCCACTTGGCAAACACAGCTATAGCTTTCTCCAGGTTTTGCTAAACCTAGATCTTATTAAAATGCATGCACACACACATACATACACACACACACACACACCACCACCACCACCACCACCACCGTGAGTCTCTTCCATTTACTGGACAGTTTCAATTTATCCATAGAGTAATGGGGGGCTCAGCAAAGGATAAAAGGATACTGCAGCCTCCATTCATTGGGGTGTTGCTTTGTCTAGACACCTCTTTAATCACTCTGATTACTGGCTCCTTGAATCCTTGTCTTAGTCCTAAGAAGTAAGTCTAACTTCTGGTTGCTAATAATTTGTTCAAATGGTACAAAGATAATTTTTTCAAATGGTACATCTGTGAGAAACAGTCATAATCACCAGGATTCTTGGACTTGTAGCATCCTGTTCTCCACTGGGACCCCCAAAACACTGGCTGTCAAGAGAAGGGGGAATCAGTCTAGGAGGAGGTTTGTTTTGCCTCTCTGGGGTTTGCCTACCCAGTGACTTCTACCTAGAATGTTCTCTCAGTACCTCTCTGCCCATACTACCCTTTAACTTACCTAGATCCTATCCATCCTTTAGCATAAACACCCTGCCTTGGGGACCAATCCTACAAACCAGGAAGGCTCTCATAGGGCTCCCATAAACCCCACAGTTCTAGGCCCTGAGTGAAACACAGCTTGATGTTGAGTTTTTTAAATTCAGTGAATCCTCCCATGTAACAGCTAAGAATTGGCCTTTAAAGAAATGCCCAGGTTCATGACCCCAGGTCCAGTGCTCTTTGCTCCACACACATGGATTTCTCAGGCTATTTCTTCTGGTGGTGTGTAGAGACAGAGCTGGGTCAGCAAGCAGACTGGAGGGGGCATGGAAACTGCAGAGTCGTAATGCATACAGCACTGTGAGATGTCATCAAAAGAGGAAGACTGCAGCTGCCTCTAGCCCTGTGGATTGATAGAGGGCTCATTCCAGGCCTTTGAATGCCCAGACTCCCCTGCCTCCTTGGAGCACAGTTGGTGGGGACCCAGGACCCTGGCTGGCATTCTCAGGAGCTCAGCCACTCTGCCTGCATGCCCACTGGGCCATGTGTATGGGTGTTTGAGGGCAGTTACTCTGGGATGGATCTCCTTTGGGAGAGTCTGACCAAAGTCCAGTTATGCTGGTGATTGAGATGGGCTCCCTTGAGGAGCAACAGTGTGGAGAGTCCTGTGGCGAGCCCAGAGAGAAATGCCATCCCTTGAGACTTGGACTGTCGCCAGGTCAGGATGAAGGAAAAATGACAGATGGCCCTGCCCTCTGAGGTCCACTGGGACCACTGACACAGGAGAGTACTAGGCCTGTGTGGCCTTCTCCCACCAGTACTCACATCCCCTTTTCAGGCCCCTTCCTGATCAGCACCTACAGTCAGGAACTCCCCCTTCTTCTCCCTTACCTGACTATGGGAGACCCAGAATCCATCATCCTTCTTTCCAGTCTCTCTTCTGCCAACCTCATTGGTGTCCCCAGGACACCTTTCTGGGCCAGTCCTTCTTCTCTTCCACATCTGTAGATCTGACCTTGATGGCTCTTTGGGATCACCTGGGCACATTTTCCAAACTCTGGCTCAGAAGCCAGAGGCCCCTCAATCTTCCACTCCTTTGGGGACCCCTGGGTTCAACTGCTGGTATTATCTATCAAGTTCCCTGTCACCACCAGCTTCTGGCCTGTTGTCTCCATCCACCCTGGAACCCCTCACCCATATGCTTGTGCCACATTCTGCCTTGTGCCTTTACCCCCCCCTCTAATTGGGCTTTCCTCTCTTCTGCATGGGCCCTGGGGACCTGGTAGTTCTGATCATGGGTCTCTTTCCCACCTGTAGTGATCCTCTTCCCCCAGGATACCAAGATGACCAGGACCACCTGATGTCACTGAGTCAGATCAGGAGAGGGTGCTAAAGCCCTGCTGATCTTTCTCTGTGCCCTCATGAGTGAGGTCTAACCCTGGAGTTGAATGAGAATAAAATAGAATAGATAGTAAATGACCAGGCAGTCAGGATAATGGGTCCCATTTAACCACACCTGGAGGCTAAGGGGCAGACATAGTTAATGAGCACCATCAAGGACCATTTCAAATGTAAAATATATTGAGGCTTACCTGTGGGAACACCTCCAGCCAAGTCCTTTTTCCCAGAGGTAGAAAAGGAGTGAACCCATGTGGAAGTTAAAGGAAGAAATGTGAGGATGAACCTGGATGAAAAGAAAGACAACAGCCTTATCAAAATGGGTTGTTCAGCTGTCAGGACCCTTCTTACATGGCAGGAGTTCCATCTTTTCTTGCTTAAGTAAATCCTGCTCTACTTATTCTTCCCCTCTGTAACTGTCCATGGATTTTATTCTTCAAAATTTGTGAGACAAGAACCCAAAGGAAATTGGTGAAGCAGAGAATCTAGTCTCATCTCAAAACTCCACTTTCAGAGACATAGAGAACTTGGGAAACTTTATAAGCACTCTGTTTTGGGTCTTCTAGGAAGAATTCATTGTACCCTGAGCTTCCATATTCTGGCCACAAAAGACGATGAGGATGGAAAAAGTTGGCTCAGTGCTAGATGATGCTTAGGATGTAGCCTGCATAAGTTTCTGTGGGTTCCCAGATCCCACTACACATGTCACTCACATTCCAAAGAGTGCTGGGCTGTGCTCTATTCTAGATGCTGAACTGCATGTGTAGTGCTGGCTGTGCAGAGGGAAACACAAAACACTTTTTGAGCAAAAGAAATGGGGTCTTCTCTAGACTTGAACCTGAGATGTTGGAGAAGGGTAGTATGAGAAAGAAATCTTCCCCTGGGCCCTGTTCATCATCAGAGCAAGCTAAGGAGGTGGGGAGAGGCAGCAAGGTGAAAGAGGGGTAGGGAGCTTTGGTGTAGTTCTCTTATACAGATGAAGTGTGTGTGCATGGGACTGGAGCCTGTGCATGGCATCCAGCCTGTGCCTCACATATAGAATATGCCCAGCTCACTCCAAACACCATATATATGTCAGAGAGAAGGAGGGAGATGCCTGCAAGGCTTGTGGCATGAGAGGGTGTGGTCTGTTCCAGTGGATGATGGCTGTAAACTCAGGAAAGAAACAAGCAGGTGGGGCTGGAGATACTAGGTAGGCTTGTGGTAGACAAAGGATGTCTGAGATAAGACTGAGCACATTGAAGAGGTACTGAAGGGTTCCCCCCAGGTGTCTTCCCATGGCCTATCCAAGTGGTGGAAGGTACAGCTTACAACACATCCATCCATCCATGAGAACTCAGAGCAGGGTGCTTAGACAGTTTCCCCAATTCCTTATGATTCCGGGACTGGTCCTCACTCTGAACTTGGTTTTGTCAGTGTAGTAAGAAGTGAGGCAATGGGAGATCTTTCCATCTTCTAAGGTCTTCTTCATTTTCTTTCTTTAGTGTTCTATAGTTTTCATACCAGAGGTCTTTCACCTCTTTTGTTGATTCTCAGGTATTTTAATTTTTTTGAGGTTATTGTGAATGGGATAGTTTTCCTAATTTCTCTTTCAGAGGATTCATCACTGATGTATAGAAATGCATTTAACTTATGGGTATTGATTGTATCTTCTGCTACTTTGCTACATTCATAATTAATTCTAGAAGTTTTCTGGTGGAGTTTTCAGATCCTCTAAGTATAGAATCATGTTGTCATCAAATAATGATAGTATGAGTTCTTCTTTTCCTATCCGTACCCCTTTAATTTCTTTAATTTGTCTAATTGCTCTGGCTAGAGTTTCAAGGGCAATGTTAAATAGAAGTGGTAAAAGAGGGCATCCCTGTCTTGTCCAAGTGTTTAGAGGGAACTGATGAACTCAGCCTAATTCCATTTTAAGATTGGGAGCCATCTTGTCACAAAGTCATGAAAAGTTCATTTCTATTTTACTATAAATTACTGTGATTTCTAAACTTGCTTGAAATGCCTGCCCATGACTTTAACTTACCCATGCCTGGTTTTCCCTGACCAGATAATAACCCTCTCTGAAACCTTAGTAGTGCTTCATAAATTCTCGCTTTCCCTGATCAGACAACAACATTAGAGTTGACCAGACAACTCTAATGGTGCTGTAATACCAGATTCATGGGACCCCAATACACCTCCGGGAGCCGAACCCAATGTAATCACACAAGAGTCTTTATTGCAAGCTCTGAGCCTGGACTCACAACCTTTTCTGATGCAGTGGTCCCAGGGAGTGAGTCCCGGTCCTTTGTTCAGTGAGATTTTATAGGTTTGGTGGGGTACTCTATGCGTCACAACATCACACAGCAAATCATTTCTGCGGGAAAGTCAAACAACAACTCTTAACATTGATTAGTGTATTCACTGGTGGGAACAAATTGGGTAGGGGTGATTGGTTAGTACAAGAAGAGGATTCCTCTGAACTGATTGGTTTAAGCCACGAGGGGTGTAAGCGCTAAACTACATGGTTTCCTAATATGTTATCAACCACCATAAACTACTGGGGTTCATCTGGCATCCCAGGTATTTTTCCTGTCTCATGCTGATTGGTGGTTCCTAGGGGGTTGTTATGGGTCCTCACCTAGCCTGACTGAGTCAGGGACACCTGGGGCCACAGATCTCTCCTGTTATTTGCAGACAAACAACTCAGCAGGGTGGGTATGTGCTTAGGAGTTGTTCTGTGAGTTTTTCCAGTGACAAGGATCACGCCTCCTTTCTTGGACAGGCTTTGCTCTGAGGTAGAGGCTGGTTTCTCAAAAATGGAGTCATGCCTTGTAAATTCTGATG